GAGAGAGAGAGAGAGAGAGAGAGAGAGAGAGAGAGAGAGAGAGAGAGCGAAGAGAGGGAGGGAGGGCTCAGACCTGCCCTAGGTTTGAGCAGGAGGAGAGTAACAGAGATGAGAGAGAGAGACGGGGAGAGAGAAAAAGAGAGAGAAAGAGAAGAGAGAAAGAGAAGAGGGAAGAGGGAGAGAAAGAGAGAAAGAAGGGAGAGAAAGAGATAAAGAAGAGAGAGAAGAGAGAAAAAATAGAGAGAAAAGAGAGAAGGAAGTGAGAACAGAGAGAGTGGACATAGAACGAGCTTGAGCCTAGGTGCACCTTCTTAGGTCCCTTTGCATGCACGTGAGAGAGAGGTCTTGATCTTGGTGGGTCAAAACTAAGGTCCAAGGCTTAGGTGTATGGCTTAGGTAGGTTAGGTTGAGGTGTAGTGTATAAGAGCTAGTGTATATGGTATAGGGTAAGGTGTATGATGTACTATGGTGTGTGGTGTAGGCTAGGTGTAAGGTGTATGGAGTAGGATTGGAAGCTAGGGGTTCTAAGATGTATGAAAGCTAAGATTTCTAGGGAGTATGGGAATGAGAATTAGGAATCTTAAGGGAGTTGGAACTTTGGAGTTCGAGGGAGTGTAGGATTCCTCGAAGTAGTTTCTCTCTCTAAAAAGATGTTTCTCTATCCTTTAATCTTGAGTCTTGAACTTGAAAGCAAAGTAAAAGAACAAGCAAGAGCTTGATTGCAAATGATTAAGAATTCAACAATTTACTCCAAATGTTACATGAAGAGAGACTATAACAAATGACTTGAGTTCCTTATATAGAGCAACCAAAAAACAAGGTGGACTGTTAAAAAACACACAAAATGTTAAAAAAATACACACTTTATGAATTAAAATATTTATCTCTTTTTTTGACTAAATGACCAAAATACCCCTAAGTACTTTTCAACAAATGACAAAACCATCCCTCCATGAGGGGCTCTTGCTATTGCTAGGCCTCAGGTGTTTTTTGGATGCTTATGGTGTTAATTTGGGTGATCAATCGTTGTAGAGTCGATGCTTGAACTATTGCACATTTTTGATATCCTTTGATCATCTTGAAACATATTTTTAAGGAAAAACCCAAAATCTGGCCAAGTTTCATAAACTTGTGATTCTTCGACCACCATTCCAACACGATCTATTACTTTTCAAGACTTCATTTTGATAACAAATTGAAGAGAATACTATCACGATCATTTTGTGATAAATGTCGTCCATTTTGTTCTCCGTTTGAGCACATTCCAATTTTGGGAAGTCCCCAAAAAATGACATTTCAATTTCTAGCCACACGATGATGCGTTCTATATTTCAAAACAAATGTATCTTCGAGATCTAGCTCGTGTCCGAATTTGAGCTTAATTAGACTCAAAACAGGCGAGTTATGAGCATTTGCAAATCATCCTGAAATGAGAAAACATAGCTTCCATAAATAGAAATGGGTTTACCAAGGGGCTGCACCGCAATAGTGTAAAACCCATCATTTTATGGTAAGTTACCCTCAGAATGGTCCTAGAGGGTTTGATTGAGCCAAAATTTGGTACCTGGAAGTTTTTTAACTTTTCAGATCCAATAACGGTGGTTTGATGTTTTTTTGATACCCAAAAATAAGGCTATAGTTATACCATTTTCAGTATGAAAGGAACTAAATTTTAAAACCAAGTTTCATTTGGATCATATAAAAACTCATCAGAACATGAAGAAATTTTTTGGGTGCCCTTAGGGCATCCAAAACTACACTTTCATGCAATTTGAGGCCATTCTGACACTTTTTCAGAATTCCTCCAATTTTTGGCTTATTGCTGTAATGTTCCCATGGTCTAACGGTGTTTTGGGCACTGACGGGACTAGGTTACTACCAACTCTCTCCTTATTCACCTTGAGAATAAAAGTACGTCAAAAATGATGTACAACAGCTTGCCCTGTCGAATGCTACTCTTCGAGAGAAGCGAGAAGTGTAACATTTAGAACAAAAACCTCGTCAAAGTTCATTTTTCGAATCCTTACGAAGGTGCTTTTATTATTTCTCAAAAATATTATTCTTCTCAATCATCGGCATCAACACAATCCTTGAGGGGGAGACCATGTCAAGCTTCTTCCCTGGGGGATGACCAAAGTGGATTCTAATGATTGGGGGCATTTTAAGGGCTTCATAAACCCAATACTGCTAGAATCCATTTTCTGGGGGAGCATGGTGACCAGGTTCCTTCTGGAAGGGCTTACTTTCCCAACTTAACAATACTTCCTAATGAGCCAATTGGTGGGTGCCTCTAAGGCTTGATCCCAATCCAGTGGTATTTTTTGTTCGAACAACTGGGGGCCTTGCTTAAGGGCTTCCTTCCCAATATTATCAGAATCCAGCTGTGTTTAGCAGTCAAGGGCCTTGCTTGGAGATTTCCTTCCCAATCCATCAGATTTTTCTTGGAAAGGCTAGTGGTGGGGAGCGTTGCTTAAGGGCTTCCTTCCCCTTTTACACTGAACTTTTGATATTTTTTTTAAAAGGCTAGCAGTGGGGGGCATTTTAAGGGCTACCTACCCCTTTTACATTGAACGTTTGGTTTGTTTATTTTGCTTTAGATAGACAATCCAGGAGAGCCCTTAATGGGGCGTATGAACTGCTTAACCAAGACTTGGACTGAGCACGGGGGGTGTCTCTTTGGGGTCTTACACCTGATATACCAGGCTTAGTCAGGGGCTTTTTTGTGGCCTGTCCTGAAAGTCTAAACCTATCGGCAATATGGGCCTTAGTAAGATGGTCTCTTTGGGGGCTTACACCCAATATATAGGGCTTAGTCAGGGGCTCTTTGGTGGCCGTCCTAAAAGTCTAAACCTATCAGCAATCGGCGCCTTAGTAAGACGGTTACCCTTGGATTCAGGGCATCGATCTAGGCTAGGCAATCAATTGGCTAATAAAAACTTCTATCTCGAATTGTCAATGTGTTGATCTTGTTTTTGGTTGGTGTCTTGGATTGGAGAATCTCTTCAACAAGTGGCTATCCTAGCTTGCCATCTTGATAATTATTCTGATCTTAAGGGTCCTTTCAACAAGGTTGACCCAAATTGCTGGATTTTCTTAAGATCTTTGTGGTCTTGATGGTAAGGTACTCATGAGGGCTATTGATTCCTAAATCACCAAACTTTTGTTGTAATTGGTTGAAGCCGCCTTGGTCGAATGCTGAATCAACCTGCTTATTAGTCCATGTGCCGTTTTGGGTTTTCGCCTAAATTGGATAGAAGTGGCGTTGCGTAATGGTTTTCACCAACTTCTTCTTTTATTGAGGCTCTTTTACCCTTGACTTCGAGGTCACACCCACCTTTTTATTTTTATTTTTACTCATGGCGCCCTTTTTGGTTTTCACTATGGCCGGTTTTCTATTTTTAGAACACTTTTACTCGTGGCTTCATGGGGACGCCTGTCTTTCATTTTTGCTCATGGTGCCCATTTGGGCTTTCACCATGCCTAATTTTTATTTTTAGCAATCTTACCCATAGTTTCGTGGCTATATCCGCCTGAAGCTCTCACTTTTACTCATGGTGACTGCCATCGAATGCTCATCATGCACAACTTCTTTTTCTTTTTAAGCGATGAACCTCCTCCTTGACGATGGATAGGATAGAGGAATTATAACTGTACGAGGCTCACTGGGGCAATCGATACCACGATGAGACTTTTATTAAGAGGGTGAGCACCATTGGAGATGTCTTTGCAAGGTGATGAATGACTCACACTTGCCTGGTGGAATAGGGGTTTTAGGTGAATCAGTAGATAATTGATGCATAAAAACTCCCTGAGGATAAAATTTGTTTTAAGGTAAATAAATGGTTATCTCCCTGAGGGTTGAAAGGCTCCCTTTGGTGATGAGGGCATAACATGCTCCAGACACTAGTCATAGTGTACCCACACCACTGGGGGTAGTGACTCACTTGGGATGATGACCTCTCACTGATGATCATAGACCAATGGAGTGACAGACCATTGGGGTGATGGACCCCTGGAGTGATGTCCTATTGAAAATAGTGATCCATTAGGGGTGATGGACCATCAGGGATTCCTTTTGACTCTTTGATTATGGTATTACTCATAGGATCTTATGGAGGTTCAAGTGAATGGGGAATGTTTTGATATAGTTCATGGGGATAATGGAGTTCAGAAGTGAAGCCCAAGTAAAAAGGGTTTCTAGGATGGTTTCAGATAATGTTTGAGCTATTGAATGGAACTTCAATAGAAAGGGTAATTTCTGACTCTCGGGGATAATAGGTCAAGCTGATGGGGCGATTGGGACTCCCATGGTTTTCATGAGTCGTCAGCGTTTTTAGTGGAAATCTTGCGTCAACTGAATGATAGGTTTGACTTGCAATTTTGAAGTTTTATGTAAAGGTGTATCTCCAGTGGTGTTTGAACATGCTAGGGACATGAATATCCTTGCAAAAATGCTTAATGTATTTTCGTTGGGGATCAGGCATATCAAGGATATGTCTCTGCTAAGGATTAAGCTCATTAAGGATAAAAGCATCTTTAGAATCCATCAAAACTTGTTAGACTGAACCCAGGGTTATACTGGGTTAATAGGTTCATGGTTTGAATTGAGAGGGTTTGAAAATAGAGCTATTGAGCTCAGAGTTTATGGGCTTCACATAGCTCAAAGTTACCTTAGTTTGTGCAGGTAGAACAAAGAGCATAGCTCTTTTGCTCAGCTTGTGTCAATATGCACAAGTGTGTGCTGAACTCATGGTTAAACCATGGGCTCGTGAGAGTTCGTTTGTAGAAGAGAGAGAATGAAGTGAGGTGAAGGTAATGGACCCACCCTTAGACACGGGTTCATGTGTTTAAGCACATGAGAGAGAGACAAGAAGAAAATAGAATGAGAAAGTGATGGACCCACCTTAGACACGGATCAGTGCAATGGATAACGCGCGAGAGAGATGAGGAGAATAGGTGACAGACCCGCCCTAGGCACGGGTCAGTGTGTTTATGCGAAGTGAGGGAGAGAGAAGGATATGAGGGTAGGGATGTATAGATGAGTCCGCCTTAGGCGCAGACCTGACTGGTCTTTGACGTGAGGGGGTAAAGAAGAGGGATAAGAGATGGAAAAAGAGATGGGTCATCCCTAGGCACGGACCCGAGGATTTTTTTTGTCGTGTGAGAGAGAAGAAGAGTGATAAGAGAGGGAAGGAGAGACAAGTCCGCCCTAGGTGCGGACCCGAATTCTTTCATGCGAGAGAAAAGGGGGCAGTCCGCCCAAGCTTGGTTTAAAAGGTAGATGGGCGCCTTTTCACTCATCTCCTTTTGTTCTTATGAGAGAGAGAGAGTAAAAGAGGCCCTTCTTTGGATTCCAAAGTGACCTTCAAGAGACCATCCTTGGGGACCATGGCTAGCTCCTCTAACCCCCAAGGAAATTCCCTTGTGCTTCTTTCTTCTTTTCAATGTCTTTTGATGGTCACTTCTTCTTCCATCTATTCTTGTCTTGTCTTTTGCACACCATGTGTTTGATTAAATGTTTGAACACCCTTTTGAGCACAACCTTGATAACTTGATTATCTTTTGAGCATCTCTTGATCATGTCTTAGCGCATGTTGCATCTTCATGTATCATTTCAAGCTTTCTTAATGCATCTTGCATCAATCTTGAGCATCATGGACACCTCTTAGGCATCACGAACCCCTAGGTCCGTGAACCTTTTCAAAGCTTCACCATCCATTCTTTGAACCTTATGGGCCTGAATGTTCTTGAGCATTGCGAATATGTCCAAGCATCATGAACACAATTGGTCGTCACATACATCACTTTGAACTCCATGAATGGTGGTTGGACACCACGAACACATCCTTGAGCGCTATCAACATTTAGAGTATGACAACCATTTTTGGTCGCTACAAGCATTGCTCTTAACCATCATGCACATTTCTGATGTTCACAAAAAATTGCCTTGACTGTTTTGAGTTGCACAGATGTCTTCTTTGTACACTTCAAACTTGTCTACATATCACGATTCTCTTGATCATACTCGTCATCAATATGAGCATCATGAATCAATATCGAGAACATTTTAGAGCTTTACGAACATCTTTTTGAGCACTAGACGTCACAAAAAAAAATTTTGTTTGAGCACCATGCATATTTTTCTTTGAATATCATAAGCATCATGGACGTCAAAAAAACCCTCAAATTTTTCTTTGAGCACCCCAAATATTTTTGACCACCCTAAAAAAAACAGTTTCTCGTTTTGAGCACTCTAAGTTTCACAGACATTTTTGTGAACACCGTGATCATCTTGAAGAATTTCTTTATGCCCCCCTTCTCATTCTCATGTAACTCTTCATATTCTCATACTCTTTTGTGCATGCTTTATCATCCAAAGCATCTTTGCAGCATTCTCATGTAACTCTCCTCCTTCTCATATGCTTTTATGTGTATCTTAGCATTTAAAGCATCTTCTGTGGCATCTTCACGCACCCCTTGTATCTCAAGTGCAATTTGGCATTTTCAGCATGGACACCGCATAGGTATGCATCTTAAAAATTCCCTTGAGACTTTTTAAGCATAGTTATGCAATTTCATGCATCTTCTGATGTCGTTAAGCATAGTTGAGCATAGTTATGCACCATAATTCATCCCTTGAGCATTTTCATGTATAGTTATGCATGTTTTAGCATAGTCATGCATTTCTAAGCATTTTCATGCATAGTTATGCATTCTTTAGCATTGGGTACTTCTTTGATAGAAAAGTGCGCTCTTCAAGGTCACTTTTCGCGGCGGGCATTGGACCCACAGACTTGTGATTTCTTAGAATCTCCCGGGTGCTTTGGACTAGCCAAACACCTTCTTTATCAACCTCTGCATATAGGGGAGATTCTGTCGAAATTTTGCAAAATTCTTGACGCTTTATTTTCTTGTTTCTTTTGAAAAACCCTTATCCTTCTGAACTGTCATCTTGCTCAATTGCTCACTTCTTTCTCTTGTGCTTCTTCTGCAGTCACATCCCCCATAGAATGACCACTCGGAGTTCTAGTAGGGCTTTAACCGTTTGGAATAAGAAGAATCAGACCCCAGAGATTGCAATTATCATTCCTGATGACTCTGAAGAGGTGATTCCTCTAGCAATTCATAGAGGTGTAGAGAGAATCATTGCCCCTACAATGCAAGGGGAACCAAGAGAAGGTCCAAATCCTGTCATTGCTTCTAACTCTAGGCAAGTTATCCATCCCTTTGACTGGCATACCCATAGAGGACTTGTTATGGCATATGTAAGATTGCCTTTTCCTGATCAAGTCAAGAGACTTAATCGTCATAATTCTGATATCTGCACGATGGAGATAGGTCGTGATCTTCTCAGAGCTACCTATCAACTTTTTAGTCATGCCCTTTTCTTTGAGTTGGCCATGTTCCCATTCTTTGTGAAGAAGTTAATGAAGAACCTTACAGACTTCAATGTTCCGTGCACTGGTTTATTTGGAAAAAAGATGGAAACAATAGTTCACTGGGCCAGAGAGGTCTTGGAAATAGAAGACCTGGTCTCTACTAAGAAGAACCCATCTATTGCACTCTTACTCAAAACTCCTTTCCTGACCCTTATTTATGTTGGATCTTTCCGAGGCGATTCTAAGAGATCTTAGAACCGATCTGCTCTTGCGATAGTTTGTTCATTCGGATTTTCAGCCCTGTCCTTTAAAAAGGTCTTCGATCTCCTAAGATATTGCATGTCTTGAAAATGAGAGTGATATGGCCACTCTCGAACATCATATCCAAGAGACAGAAGGCTTGCTGGTCTTGGCTCGTAGGAAATGGAGGATCCACAGTCATCTCAGCTTGATCATGGGGAGTATCCTCCTTGGTTAGAAAAATCAGCCATAGCAGGCGAGCAATTTTAAAACACAAGATAAAGAAGGTGCAGCAAGACTACTTCAGACTTAGTCTCTTGAAGGAATGATTCCTCAACCTTCTCTTCTTCAAGGCAGACAACCATAGCTTCATCCATATTGTAGACATAATTTTCTTTCTTTTTTAACTTTTGTAAGGCGCAATGTTACAGCCATGCAATCCTATTTGTTTATTTCCTTTTACGCTTGTATATAGAGGCCACAAAACTGCAACTCGTGGTCTCCTTTTTGCTAACAACTTATGTCTTTCATTTGCCTCCATTGCCTCCATTGATGACTCTTTACTTTTTGTACTAAATGTTTATGTCTGTGTTTTGAAGTAGCAAGCCTGCAACTTGTAACTTCTACTTTGTCATGGAATGAATGCTCTTTTCTTTCATCTTTGACATGTCTGCTTCTCTTTGCTTTTATTGTTTGCTCTTCTCTACTTCATGGTGTGCACCTTTCTTCTATTTCTTGTGACCAACCCTTGTCTCCTCTGGAAGGGGGTAAGCGATGAATCTGGAATTCTGCTTCACACGGAAGCGAATTTGAACTCCATCATGTGTGAGTTGAACGCCCTCTCGGGTTTTCATCCAAGTCCTTGGGGTATATGCCATTTCTAGTCTTCACAAGAACCCTGTATATATATATATATATATGGATATGGAAAAAGATCCTGTCAGCCCAAGGACATACTGCTACAGTAAATGCCAACTTCCCAGATTGAATCTGGGTTGATTTAACGATCCCGAATATTCGGTAGTGTTTGAATTTTAATTTTTTTTCTACAGATTGGATTGATCTGAAATTTGGCGCGTGTGTACATAAAATATAGGTGATCTTCAAAAAATATAAAAAAAATATTTTACATGAAAAACATTGACCAAAATACCCTTGTAAAGTTTTGGGGGTATTTTGGTCAATTTGTTTTTACGGATTATTGTTTTATATTTTTACTTAGGCGTGCCTTGATTGATGAATAAACACTTAAAATTTCAAGTGATTTGGATTTATAAAAAAACAATAATTAAAATTCAAACACGAAAGGAGGTCGTGACCGTCAGATCGGCCTAGATTCAATCTGGGCCATTGGCATTTATTGTAGCTGTCAGCTAGTGGGCGTACAGATTGAATCTAGGCCCACTAGCTGACCGCTACAGTAAATGCCAA